TTGGTTACCTTTCCCGTGTTGTGATTGGTCGCAGCGTGATGACGTCAGGAGTGAAGAGGAAATGTCACATTCGAAGGGAGATTAATTTTGAATCGAATCGGGGTTGAAGGCCTGCATGATAAAGCTGGGGAAGCTGTTTGGGGGGAAATCTAGGTAAAGCGACAACAAAAACCACGTTGACAAAAATTACCCTGAGGCAGAATAGACCGGTATTCTTTGAATTCTTTGAGACGGCACTTTGCGTTCGTATTTACACTAAAACACTTCATTTTTTTCATAATACGGGAAACTGAAGGAAGAAATATTGAAGAAAATCTCAGCGATGAATCTTACGTAGCTTCTGAATTAAAAATATATACACATATTTCAAAATTCGGAATAATTCGGCATCCGGAGAAAGTAATGACGTCACTTTCTACGTCATAGATAGCTATTTTCCGGTTAAGTGCGTTAATTGTTCAAACACCAGCGCCGTTTTGCCAGTGTATAATTTTTTTCAATGTATGCTTTATAGACTACTAGAAGATGGAATATATTTGAATATATTTAGAAGGAATATATTTGACAGTATAAAGATATATAACAATTTGATTTAATCTCATATTGTAATAACTTTTTTTCTTTTTTTTCTTTTTTTCTTTTTTTTTAGATGTGCAACACATATGTAAATAAAGCACATTTTTATTCCAGTAAAATGATTCAGTCCTCTTTGCAGCATATATGTTATATGTGATGACAATACAAAAATTCCCTTGAATAAATATATACCGGGTTGGGTATCATAATAATAGTAATAACAATAATAATAATAATAATAATAATAATAATAATAATAACAATAATAATAATAATAATAACAATAATAATAATAATAATAATAATAATAATAATAATAATAATAATAATAATAATAACAATAGTAATAATAATAATGATAACATTAACAATAATAATAATGATAATAGTAATGATAATAATAATAATGATAATAATAATAATAATAATAATAATAATAATAATAATAATAATAATAATAATAATAACAACAATAATAATCATCATTACTATTATTATTATTATCTTTATTATTATTACTGTTATTATTATAATGATAATCCTCATCACAGTAGTAGTAGTAGTAATAATAATAATAATGATAATAATAATGATAATAATAATAATAATAATAATAACAATAATAATAATAATATTAATAATAATAATAATAATAATAATAATAATGATAATAATATCAATAATAATAATAATGATAATAATAATAATAATAATAATAATAATAATAATAATAATAATAATAATAACAATAATAACAATAATAACAATAACAATAATAATAATGATAATAATAATAATAATAATAATAATAATAATAATAGTAATAATAATAATAATAATAATAATAAAAATAATAATAATGATAATAATAATAATAATAATGATAATAATAATAATAATATTAATAATAATAATGATAATAATAATAACAATAATAACAATTATAATAATAATAATGATAATGATAACATTAACAATAATAATGATGATAAAAGTAATGATAATAATAATGATGATAATAATAATGATAATAATAATAATAATGATAATAATAATAATGATAATTATTATTATTATTATCTTTATTATTATTACTGTTATTATTATAATAATGATAATCCTCATCACAGTAGTAGTAGTAGTAATAATAATAATAATGATAATAATAATAATAATAATAATAATGATAATAATAACAATAATAATAATAATAATAATAATAATAATAATAATAATAATAATAATAACAACAACAATAACAATGATAATAATAATAATTATTATTATTATTATTATTATTATTGTTATTATTATTATTATTATTATTATTATTATTATTATTATTATTATTATTATTATTATTATTATTATTATTATTATTATTATTATTATTATCTTTATTATTATTACTGTTATTATTATTATAATGATAATCCTCATCACAGTAGTAGTAGTAATAATAATAATGATAATAATGATAATGATAATGATAATAATAATAATAATAATAATAATAATGATAATAATAATAATAATAATAATAATGATAATAATAATAATATAAATAATAACAATAATAACAATAACAACAATAACAACAACAACAATAAAAATAATAATGATAATAATAATAATAATAATAATAATAATAATAATAATAATAATAATAATAATAATGATAATAATAATAATAATAATAATAATAATAATTATAATAAAAATAATAATAAAATGTAAAGGAATTAAACAAATGGAAACTGTCATAATCTTAATGAATTCATGAAAAGAACGAGACAGTGTCTATATTTTTAACGTTTACCTAAAATAACTCAAAGAGGTAAAAAAATATATATAAAAAAAATGTGGAATGTTATAAAGAATATCAACATTCTTAACTCACAATTGGAAATGTCCTTTTAGTATATGGCTAAAATGAAAGATGTAAAATGAAACATTGTTTTTACCAATAATGAAATGGAAATGCTATTATTTTCGAAAGTAAGGTTAATTAACAATAAAGATAAATAAACAAATATTCTATTGGCGCGTTCATTAGCACTGCTAATAGTAGCATCAGAAATGTTGATGGCGTTTTGTTTTTGAACCGAATGTGAAATATACAATATCTTTCGCCTTTCTATATTTTCATATATCCTTATCTTCCGTATATAAGTTACCCCTGAATCTGTCCATTTTCTATAAAGTCTCGCAAGCAGCAACAGGTGACAGCGCATTATAGTAATAAATAAATAAATAGATAAATATCAGGCACTAGTGTCTAGACCCTTCCGTATGGGGTGGTCGTTAATCAGTTAGATATATATCGAGAAATAAAATTACAACAAATATGAAAATTTGGTATAACGTGCCGGGTTGCATCAACGGCTATTAATAAACTACGCGTCGTCACCACAGCTTAACAGCATGCGTGACGATATTCATTAATATTTCGATTGGTAATTCAATACGCGACTGTATGCACGGCTGCAAGTGAAAAATGGTATAGACTTGGGCTGTTGAATCCATAGGTGAGAGTATGTAGTTGTTAGGAGGTATAACCATTGTGTGAATAGTGTGAACATGTTTGTATCATGTTACAATAGACATGCAATTATACGTATGCTCGTACATGTTTCAGGTTACACCCACTAAGGACAGTTGCCAGAAATACTGATATATCTTTTACGGTGTATCTAGAACTACGCTATTTCCATCATGTTTTGAAGGATATGTTTGTAAGGAAAAATAAATATTACCATTATAAGCCATTTTCGCAAGATATTCCAACCTGGATATCGAAATATTGCACAACTGGTAACATTTAACTTGCCAAATACCTTCCTCTTCGTTAATAGTTAAATGTTTGGTTCATAACACTAACAAGCGGTGAATCACGTTCTCTGTCCGTGAGGATAATTTGGGACAAGTGTTCAGCGTTCAGCGTTCTAAATCAAGTAGGCGAGATAAGTTATATCTTCAGTGTATTAAGATTTGCATTGCGCTGATACCTGCAGCTATTGAAGTTTTATAGACCCTCCGGTGACGCAATTGTTTATCAAGTATGACGCAATGTGATAAAAGTAAATTTTGTGACGCGAGTGAACTTACCCATTTATCTTCCTTTTCTCTAGTTTCATGTGACCAGAGCATAAGAACACTCACATAAGTTTGAAGATTTAAGTCTCATGTCTGTGGATCATAATTATAGAGTAACTTTGTATAATACCTGATAATAAGTGTGCAGTACGAGAACGGTGTTGCATATTACCCTCTTCATATTAGTGGTATTATTGAACTTGTAAAGTTGGTACCATTTCTGAAGTGGTCAGGAGACATATCACAACTGAAGGAACTTGGACACCGGCAAGAATATATAAGACAATATCGGATTATACACAAAGTATAAGTAGAAACTGAAAAGTGAGCCCCATCGGTGATATGATAACAGAGTACACGACCAGGAAGTGTTTTATATATGTTAATATATCTGGCAGGAGGATTCTGCTAGCGAGCGTGAGTGTGCATTTTATTTTGTAATGTTTTGTGGAGACCTAGGAGGAATGGGCAAAGATACAAGGTACCTACACTCCAGACCAGTCTTAATTTTAGAATCTTTACATCCCTCTACTGTATCTGCATCAAGTCTTCCAGGACTGCAGACATCTGTATATTTGCCTACACCGTATTTGGTCAGATGTGATATCTCAGAGGTTTTGCCATAAATGTTACAATAGGTGATAAATTTGGGACATTTTACTATGCTGTATGATTGTTCCCTTATGATCTAGTTGACAGTAATATTGAAATACATTTTTGTCATATTCAAATTTCTTTGTTTTTTCAATTTCCTCAGAAAATGTCATAGATAATGTATGCAACCACTTTAGAATTGAGACTATGTTAGATTAGCAATGAACCCAATTATTGAAAAGCATATTAATAAAGACTTGAGACTGTGCACTCAAATAATTTTCTCGGTTGTCGCAACAACACTGTCAGCAATAGCCTGCAAGTCCATATGTGGTTTTGCAGAGTAGGATATGGAAACATCTACTCCACCACAGTAACACACACAAAAACTTTCATTACAAGGTATGTGAAGTTTAAGCATCAAATAACACCGCATGAGCTTGATGTATTGTGAAGTCTGTTGTTATTCTGTTACAGCTCATTGTACTTTTCTATATTTGTCTTTCTACCAAAACTTTAAATAACTGTCAATTCTTCCCAAAGATTGGCATTGTGATTATTGATTATTGCATGTGTATTTTTCATTGTGACACATATTTTGGAAATATGTTGTAAATCTAGTATTGATCTATTAGTGGCAATAATTAACAATGAAGTAAATGTTTAACTAAAATAATCACAACATATGATTTCATACAAAATACATAAGAACTGAAGGAAAATAAGGAGCATAATTGCATAAAAAATTTAATATGCATCATCAAATTTTCAAATCTAAAACAAGAGTGCCATATACAATACATGTTTGGCAATATATAAAAAAACATTATTATTATAAAGAGAGTTTACTCAAATACAACACAATTTTATAGAGAATAATGGCACAAAATGAATTATTTACCCCAAATGTTGACATAATCAATTCATGAATTCATCTTTTTAGTAACCATACTTCCTCATTCATGACTTTGTTAAGCCTTATAAATATAAAGATACAAAAGATACAAAAAAAAAATTAGATGAATAACTAAGAGAGATCTAGAGTACAACAAAATAATATCAGACAGTGGATTTGAGATCTAAAGTATAACCTGCCAACCATTAATGTCAGAACAACAGCGATAATACAAGACGGATCCCTGACCAGATCTTAAGGGCTTTGCAAGTGACAATGTTATACTGAGAGAGAGAAACAGAAAAAGAAAATTGTAAATAAATGAGATATCAGTAATACCAAGAAAGTACATAAAATAAATTACAATAGCATAACGGTAAATAGATATATATAAAACTTAATTCATAATATCAGACCAATATATATGAACGATGACCAAAGAGTGACCTTATTCTATTTGTCATAGAGTAATATCAAAATGTGGTACCAGTAAAAATTGGTTAATTTTAAGAGGTTCAGGACAAGGATAAATGTATAAGAAAGGCTATAATTCTTTAACAGAATTCAAAATCATTAAAAAAAATTATATATGAAATAAATGCAAATATGTTACAAACCATAGCACGCATGTACTAGATTGTTCCCCTGTAGCTGGTCAACAGAACATTTCATTTTATACTTATTGCATGGCCTTGTAAAATCCAGCACCATAATAATCTTTAATGATGTATAAAGAAAAATAAAATTACACAAACTAGCAATATCTACATTAATGAATAATAACATCCTGGCCATAGCCAGAAGGCCCAGACGAAGCTAGATACTTTGCAAACCTCAATCGCATCATGAATAATAATAATAATAATAAAAAAAGAGCTTCTACTAATCACACTGTGGAAGACTATAAAGGAACACCAACCTATTGCACTGATAACTGAACACAGTGTATCCCCTTTATGATGATGATAAAACCCACAACTAATTTGTGAGCTGATTGTCTCCTAGTGGTATTGGTAATCTATATATATATATATATATATATATATATATATATATATATATATATATATATATATATATATATATATATATATATATATATATATATATATATATATATCACAAGCTTATTTTATGACATGGCATTATATCCTTGATTGATATAACTGTAAGTATATGTCTCTGTATAGAATTCCAGTTTGGTAAAAGTTCAACAACAACAACAAAAAAAGTACTTATTTAATTTGCTTGTGTTCTTGAAGGTGTTTTAAATAAATGCTTTGAAGTTTTACTCTACTATTAAGACTACTGATTGGTTAACTATTTTTTCTAATCTATTATTGACTAATTGCAAAAATCCCATATACCTGTTTTCTTGAATCTATTGCACTTCAGTTATAATTTTTAAAAAATCACAGATTCTTTCATAACTAATTCCAGATACATAATTTTATATTTTCTATGTATATAATATATAATTAAATCTTCATTCTGAATGTTAAGGAAACATTTAAAAGATTTTTTCCTTGCAGTAAAACTTATTTTTCATTTTCCTTAAATCTATATTTTTTTTCTTTTTAGTTAATACCTATTAATATCTCACCACTTATTGTTTAATAAACCTTTCAGTTAAAAAAAAAAAACTAACATATCTCTAAAAGAAATGCTTGCCTGCTAATTCTTCAGATAAAAACCTATATCTTTCAGCATACAATATTAAGAATTTTTTTATCACACTATATCCTAACAGTATAAAATGCACAGTACAGTACAAAAAAAAAAAAGAAAAGAAAAGAAAAAAAAATTGTATGTTACAAATCCATACTAACAAGAGAAGTGTAGAGTAACAAAAGTATCAGTACTTCATTTTTTTTTTTTTTTTTTTTTTTTTTTGCTAATATTATGATTTGCAGCTTGTACTTGTCAGGTCGATTTTAACCAAATTTTAATCGGAAACTATAGCAAAATGAAGTTGTTTTTCTTTTTTTTTAACTTAATGTGTGACTATGAAGACTGCATTTACTTCACACTAATCAAATAGCATCACATTACATCACATTGATTAAGAATAATTAAACTTATATGCATCTATAACTACATACTTGGCTCCATAGTTTTTTTAGATAAAAATCCTAACTAGGGAAAAACCTCACCCACTCATAACATTATCTAAGGTAAAATAAACAGAGGTCTTTTTTTCACTTCAATTATAGGGTTTCAGTGATTGAGAAATTCATTAATGATAAAATTCTAAGTGAGCTGAATTGAGCACATCACGTATCACATTTTTCTTGCGTACTTAAGTCCTACATTAATTCAGATTTCAAGATGTCTTGCATAAGCAGTCATTCATAAAGTGTTCTCTCTCCCATTCAGGTCTTATACATTAAAAAATAGTAATAATAAAAAAGAAAAATAAGAAAAAAAAAAAAATACACAGCCATGAGAAAGACATCTGTATTCGAGACTGTTAACCTCTCGTCTCACCTTTATATATCACACATTTCTTGTGTATATATCACATCCTATTTCTTGCGTCTACACCCCAAATTAAACCAAGACCTTAGCTCCTTCACAAAAGTAGTTATTTATAAACAGATCCATCTCTTGTTCAATGATGTGTAATCACGAGAAAGACATAAACGTACAGGAAGGCCTTCAAGCTCTTGCAGATACTAGTATTCGAGACTATTAGACTCTTGTCCTGTCTTCCTCCTTTTCCCTTCGTACTTCTTCTTGTTCACAAAACTTTCAATCCTCTGCAGGGGCTGTATCAAGCTAGGGTCCGAATCATACACCTGTAAGTGAATGAGGAATTCCGATCAGTATTCCCTAAAACATTTTTAATGGGAGTACAACAGGAACATGATTGAATAACTTCTCAGCACAAGAACTTTCACACTGAAATTCAATTTCATTCGTACTATTTTCTCCACGCTCAACACTTCACTTTGACAGTAATATTCATAAAATTTGAAAATACATTTATTATTGCATGAATCACATTTATAAAAAAAAAAGCTTCCCCAAAGAGACAATACCTGCAGGAACTTCTTTACGTCATTGATCTTGGACAGCGTCTCCTTCGTGGAGGGGAAAGAAAGCTGTCTCTTAATGGAATGCCGAGACTCGCTCTCGAAACCCTCGGCGTCACCTCCTGCCACCTCTATGTGGCCCGTCTGGCACTTCTCCACCACGGCATCGCACGATTTGCTTGTGTGCAGTTGCGAGCCGGCTTCGTCCTCCAGACTCATTGCAACATCACCGTTTTCACTGCTGTTTGGATTTGGGTTTTCTCTTGGGTGGTCGACCGTGTCAAAGGCAGGTGTTCCGGGGATAAATTGAGGACACACAGGTACTGACATGATCTCTTGATCCCTGTTATAAGAAGAAAATGATTATTATATACTATACTGTAACTAATTTACATTATTTTCAGATTCTCTTTGAATGATCATCTAAAGAGAAAAGAATGTAATATACATATTTTATTATAACTTACAGTTCTGGTACTTTTATTGTTATATTTTTTTTAGTCTGTTACATTTTTATTATTAATATTAATATTATTATTATTATTATTATTATTACTATTACTATTATTATATATTACTGTTATCATTACTAATATTATTATCATCAATATCATTATTATCATTATAATTATTATTATTATTATTATTATTATTATTATTATTATTATTATTATTATTATTATTATTATTATTATTATTATTATTATTATTATTATTATTATTATTATTATTATTATTATTATTATTATTATTATTATTATTATTATTATTATTATTATTATTATTATTATTATTATTATTATTATTATTATTATTATTATTATTATTATTATTATTATTATTATTATTATTATTATTATTATTATTATTATTATTATTATTATTATTATTATTATTATTATTATTATTATTATTATTATTATTATTATTATTATTATTATTATTATTATTATTATTATTATTATTATTATTATTATTATTATTATTATTATTATTATTATTATTATTATTATTATTATTATTATTATTATTATTATTATTATTATTATTATTATTATTATTATTATTATTATTATTATTATTATTATTATTATTATTATTATTATTATTATTATTATTATTATTATTATTATTATTATTATTATTATTATTATTATTATTATTATTATTATTATTATTATTATTATTATTATTATTATTATTATTATTATTATTATTATTATTATTATTATTATTATTATTATTATTATTATTATTATTATTATTATTATTATTATTATTATTATTATTATTATTATTATTATTATTATTATTATTATTATTATTATTATTATTATTATTATTATTATTATTATTATTATTATTATTATTATTATTATTATTATTATTATTATTATTATTATTATTATTATTATTATTATTATTATTATTATTATTATTATTATTATTATTATTATTATTATTATTATTATTATTATTATTATTATTATTATTATTATTATTATTATTATTATTATTATTATTATTATTATTATTATTATTATTATTATTATTATTATTATTATTATTATTATTATTATTATTATTATTATTATTATTATTATTATTATTATTATTATTATTATTATTATTATTATTATTATTATTATTATTATTATTATTATTATTATTATTATTATTATTATTATTATTATTATTATTATTATTATTATTATTATTATTATTATTATTATTATTATTATTATTATTATTATTATTATTATTATTATTATTATTATTATTATTATTATTATTATTATTATTA